TAATTAATAACACTGCCTTCAGGTTAGAAAATGAATCGTTGACAATGGGCTCTGAGCTAGTATGCAGAATCCAACACTGAAAATTACTCATTTGCATCTCGCTTCTACAGGTAGTACCCATGTAATTTAAAATTAACCTGTGCCTTTCCAGTATGAGTGCCATTATATTTGGTTTTAATATTTCTTCGGTTAATTGTGTAATAAACCTTGATACAACCTCTCAGGTGCCTTTCTTGCCCCATGAGGCGACTCTGAAAATCCTTTCATGAGAGGATTTTTAAAATTAATATTCTATCTTTGTACACCTAAAAAAAAAAGGATTGTAATAGTTTGCTTGGGCCCAGTGACATGACCCCCTTTATAGGTTTCTGTTAGGAAGGGAGGGCTCTACACTTGACCAAGTGCTGTCCGCGCACGAGACCCTCACGAACTTTCCTCATGTCTGCTTTGCCGTTAGAGGGCGCTGTGGGTGCAAGAAGCAGCCTCACCTGCCCTCGGGCTCAGACTTCCTGAAACCAGATGTTGGGTTTGGGGTAGAGCCTCAGTTTCCGCGTCTCAGCTCCAGTGCACGCCGTTCATGCACGAGGGGGACCTGGGACCACCCAATCGTCTTCTTTGTTTCTTTTCCCAAGAGGAACAAGAAATGAGAATTTTGATGTGATGTCTCCAGTTTGCTTGGCCAGCTCGAGATTAAAGAAATAAACCAATAAATAATGTGCAAACCAAACAAAACATTCCTACAGGCTGGATTTCACTGTCCGGCTTCCACTGTGGGTGCTCCTGTCTAGCCTCCACTGCTGGAAAGGGGGACCCAGGCTGGTTCCCTAGCTTGCCTGCAGTCAGCTGCTCACCTGTGGCCTCAATGGCACAGTGACAGCCATTTCTGCTGTGCCCACGCTCATGTGATTTGCAGGGCACAAGGGGACTAGGCAGAAGCGCTTCAGCCCTGGAGAAGGGGCAGATTACAAGTAGCAGGGTTAGAGAAGGCTAGGTGCTCTCACAGGCCTTTGCCAGCGCCAACCTACGAAAACCAGGCCAAACCCCGAAACATTGCCCAAAATTACAAAAGCAACAACAAAGGAAGCTGTCATTTGATGCTTTTTTTTGAACACGAGTTTGTATAACTGTGTTGTGTGGACTTCTTATTCTAGATCTTATTTTGATGATTAAAACAGCAACACTTGCATTTTTTACAAATGCAATGATGCAACGTTATGTGGTTTACTGACCACCCTGAAGGACACTAAAAGAGCCCACCTACTATAAGGTGCCCCTAGAATGTTAGTTCTTCCTTTTACCTCCTTCATACAGAGGTAAAGTTGAGACCTTGCGATAATGTATGCGGTGCAATTAGTGTCCTATAGATTGTGGAACTTTGGAGGGATCAATGTTTATATTAATTAGGCTGTGGCTAAAGTGACCTCTAATCCTGAGATTAATTCTATGGCCATTTGAGCCCATCCTGAACCATGTGAATATAAAGACCTACTCAATCGAGAGGGAGTGTTGACGGTTTTACTGTGAAGGCGAGGTGAGCCAGGGACGGAGACACCGGGTGAAGGTACACGTGTGACGTTGGGATGGGTGTCTGGTCAGGAACAGAGCTGGTGGGAGGGACCCTTGCTAATGTCATCATCCCTTCCAAACACAAGAGGGCCTCTCTGGGGACTCCAGAGCACCTTCCCAGATCTCCAGGCAGGAGCAAAGTTACCACCTTGGGGAACACACAAGAAGGTGAAATCAGCTAGAAAGATGGTGAGGCTGAAGGCACGACTCTGGCGTGTCACAGGGTGCCCAGGGCAACATGTCCATCAAGGTAGGAAGTGACATTCAAGAAGAAGAATATTAGGGGTCATAACTCCAACGGCCAAGCTGCTGACTCTTTTCCCGCCCACAGCCTCGACGATCGGAGACAAATCCTTCCCAGTCCCACAGGCCGCGCAGCGCAGAGCCTCTTGGCCGGGCCGCCGCAGGACTCTGCCTCATGATATCCTCGGGGGGAAACGGGAGGATTGAAATCCAGCCTCCAGAAATAGATATTGGAAAACAAAGCTTATTAGGAAAACACTCCACTGACAAATTTAAATGCAAATGTCAGTGTCATGGGGCAGCTGGACCCCTGAAGGGAGCCCCCTCCTCCGCTCACCACTACCCACAGGCCGGCTCTGCACGTGGACACGGAAATGTACACACAGGGAAGCTCAGTGACTTTTACACCGTAAATCTGTAACAGTTCCCACATCGTTTCCACGTATTTCAAAGTAGCGCATCCAGCAGCCTAATGATGAAACTATAGATTTTTTTTGAGCCGTAATGGGATTAATATTAGTAATAGCTTCTTTTCATTTTGAGTCATTTGATTAGATCCGAGTTTAATATTACATTAAAATTTATAGATATATTTAAGTCGTCATTCATAAGACTTTAATTATATAGATAGCTCACTTTGCATATTCTAGTTTGCTCTGCGATCTTAAAAGACACATTGTTTTCAAATCTAAACTAGTTTTCAAAAGCTGGAAGGTTGTTGCCATAGAATGTTGTTGTACGCTAAGGTTTGCTTTTCCTATTACTCCATTGACATTGATATTGCATCCCTATGAGATGGAGGAACAGGGTACTTAGTTCAGGTCTCACCCCTCCCTGGGACCATTTCTTCTCAGGTAATGTCCCAGGACACAGGTGTCATCTGCTGAGAGGCCTCCCAACAATCACACCCAAAATGCAGGCCTGTGTTCTATCACCCCCAGAACCCGCCCGCCTCCCCCCTCCCGTGTGTTTAACATCCGCCCTGATTTCCCCAGGGCGCCTGCACGGACTCCCAGTGCAGAGGTCAGGTGCACCTGACAGGCTCCGACTTGCATTTTCCATCTACGCATTCTGTCGATTTTTCCACATCCTTGACATCTTTTTATCACATCGTTAATGACTTGGAAAAATCACGCGGATGGACCATACCTTATCTAACCAATCCGTTCTTGTTCTTTTTAAAACACAGAGCCTAGCCGGTTTGGCTCAGCGGTTAGAGCGTCGGCCCGCGGACCAGAGAGTCTGGGGTTCGGTTCGCGCTAAGGGCACGTACCTCGGTTGCAGTTTGTCCCCGGCCCCGGTTGGGGTCAAGTGGGTGGCAACCACTCGATGTGTCTCTCTCACATCGATGTTCCTCTCTCTCTCTTCCCCCCTCTCTCCCTCCCACTCTATCTGAAGATATGTGCAAAAATGTCCTCTGGTGAGGATAAAAAATAAAAATACTCTCCCTTTAAAAAAACAACAACATAGACAATATCTAGGTAGGTGATGTTTTGTAGAGGCTCATAATCTCTTCATTTGGATAAATTCCCAAAAGTGTAATTGTTAAGTTAAAAAGAATAAAACATCTTGACATAGTCATAGAAAGGCCTGTCACATGACCACACACTTTATATTCAGATTGGCCATGTCCCTCAAACCTCAACAACCAACTGCATCATGATTTTTTTTGCCGACACGATGGGAAAGCAGTGCTCCATTGTTCTAATACAGATTCCTTGCTGATCACCGAGGTCGAATGTCACCTTCCGGTCATGCAAACAGAGACCGGGGAGGGGACTTTTCTAAAAGTAGCTTACACCGGGCACGAGCCCCACCATCTTGGACGTGCCCTCGCTCTTGCTGTGCAGAATGACATTAAATTCATAGAAATACAATGTTGAGTGAAGTCAGACACTCTGATTAAACTTCCTTTTAAAATCAAAAAATAATGTAGTGAAAAATTGTGAGACTAATTGTCACAAGAAGATGCCAGTGGTTTAGACGACTTCATTTCTCTCTGCAAGATAGAACGTAAAATATTCATCTTGTTGACACTTCCTGCTTCCTTTGATGAAGTATTACCATGTATTTCATCTCTTCCATGTCTGTGCATTACCTTTTCTTTAAAAAAAAGTAATTCAGTTCCAATGACACTCGAACTGAAAATATTCTTGTCGATCCCTGCTTTTCAAATATATGTTAAATGCTCATTTACATGAAACAGGTCTGTTCGATCCAGGGACTAAATGTTATTGACAGGAAATGGGACCTATTAGGTTGAGTTGCCCGTTGCTGGGTAATACATGGCCCCACCCACTTCTCATAGCTTCAAACAAACGCTTGTTATCTCACAACTTCTCTTAGGATCAGAAAGCCGACGCAGCAGACATGGGGGTCTGGCTCGGGGACTCCCGTGAGGTTGTGAGGAACCTGTTGGCCAGAGCTGCACCCCGAGGATCTGAATGGGGCTGAGGGATGTACTTCCCAGTGTCCTCAGGGGCTGGTCGGCCGACCTCTGTTCCCCTCTGCTACGCCCAGAGTGAGAGGTCCCAGAAATACAGTGAAGGGTCGGGGAGGAAGGAGGCAGGGAGAGGGGGGCGGGGAGTCATGTAGAGTAAAGGCTGTTACTTCTAGTGGTTATTTACCCTAAGCTACTGGCCGCAGCTTGAGATAACCGATGCCTGTGGGAAGGACGTCAGCCTCCCCGTGCACTGAACTGTCTGTCAGTAGCCCTGTTTCAGCACCCGCACGGACGTCATCTTGAAATGACTCAGCCTAAATAGACTTGAAAAGAATTTCCTAATCATTTATGTTTCTCAAAAAATACCTCCCATTCGCAGTGTTTTCTTGAGGTTTTCTCTCAAATCCCTCTGTTAATGTGAAATGCAGTGAAGAAATTTAAGTCTGGAAATGCCTGATTATTTTTTATGCATGAATCCTCTTTCCTTCAAGGACTTGGCTTTAATAATAAAATGCTTTATCCCTCTCTTTTAAAAAGTGTGTGAAGTTTCAGTATGAGATCTTCCCCTCCAGGGAATTCCTGGGATGGTAATTCCAGCTCACTGGGGGCCTAAGTACGATCCATGTCGTGGATTCATGAGTCACGATACTGTAACACCTTTAATATCGCCAGTTTTATTGTAGCATTGCTTGTTGTTTTCTTAAAACAACAGCGACGTAACTGATTATCTAACCTTATTTTATTCTAGGTCCCCGAAAAACCCAGGACAGAAGATCATCAAGAGAGTGATTGCCCTTGAAGGAGATATTATAAAGTAAGTACTTAACACTGTTGCTTTGGAGTTAAAATCGTAAACATCTGCATTGTTGTTGAGTGTGAAGTCACACGATAAGGGACGTACATTTCAAAGAGGACCAGAGCTTTGGCGACGTTCCAAGTGAGGTGGCACCTTCGATCATTTCAGGGTGTAAGACCTACGCAGACCAACTGGCCATATGATTATCCTTGAACTGGGAGGCACAGGAGAAATAAACAGCAATTGAACTGAAATTAACCACGTCTTCTAAAATGACCATTTAATCATTGTTTTTCAGACACTAAAATCATCGTGATTGTTTTAGATTATGATGTAAAGGTTTATTTTAGAAACATTTAAGAACATTTTATTATCTTAGAAGCAAATACAGAAACTCAGGGAGGGCTTTTATTACACTAGAGATAGGAGGAAATGGGGGAAATGTGGACATCTGTGGACATGCTATGGGACTCTTGTGTCCTTGGTAGAAAAATGTTTTCGTTTCTATTGGGAAGATACCTAGGGATGCTGGGTGTGATGGTTAAGTATATGTTTAATTTGTTTGTTTGTTTGTTTGTTTGTTTTGTGTGTGTTTTTTTTGTACAGATAGAGTGGGAGGGAGAGAGAGGAAGGGAGAGAGAGAGAGAAACATCGACGTGAAGGGACACATCAAGTGGCTGCCACCCGCACGACCAACCAGGGCCGGGGACAAACTGCAACCGAAGTACGTGCCCTTAGCGGGAACTGAACCCAGGTCTCTTGGGACCGCAGGCCGACGCTCTAACCGCTGAGCCAAACCGGCCAGGGCTGTTTAATTTTTTTAAGGAACTATTGAGCTGTTTTCCAAAGCAGCTGCATCCCTACGTCCCCCAGCTGTGTGCCAGGCTCCCCATGTCTCCCATCCTTGCCCGTGCTCGGCACTATGAATATTCCTCATCAGAGCCACGCCAGTGGGTGAGGAGTAGGACTCACTGTGGTTTCGACCTGCACGTCGCTGAAGGCTAGTGCTATTGAACATCATAGTTGTTTGCTTTTTCTCATTAATTTTTTGTGCCTGCTACATGTAGAAACACTGTGTTAGAAAAGGATAAAAGACTGCAGAGTCCCAAAGTGCAGCCGGTCCATGTGAATGACCCACAACTGAAATTTCTAAGGCATCAGTCATTTTCACTGGGTTCCTGTATTTCTGCTGCACGGATTGTGTCAGCCAGTCAGAAATGAAGCCCAGCGTCCTGCCGCCCCTCACGGGGTGAAATACATCTTATGGACATTTGGAATCTGGGCTTCCGTGTAGTTAGTAGCCTTAATGAAGAGAGTGCATCATGCCCGCTGGTGTGGCTCAGTGGGTGGAGCGTCCTCCCATGACTGAGAGGTCCCGGTTGATTCCCGGTCAGGGCACACGCCCGGGTTGCAGGCTCCATCCCCAGTAGGGGCCTGCAGGAGGCAGCCGATCAATATCTCTCTCACATCGATGTTTCTCTCTCTCTCTCCCTTCCTCTCTTTCTCTAAAACAATACCAATTAAAACATTAAAAGAAAAAAGAGAGAATACATCATTGTTTTAGTGCCCAGTGAACAGGGTAACTGTGTATCACCTAAACAAGGACATATTTTGAGAGTAAAAAAGGATGATGTTAATAATCAACAGTAACTGGACTGCCAAGTCAAACAGTTACAAATGGTCACCCTACCGGGGAAATGTAATCTACTTTATACGTCACTTCACATAATTTGATTTTGTTTAGACTGTGACCCCCTGGCTCAGGAGGATTCCGAGAAGTGGTCACAGAGACCAGAGTCACTTCCTGGCCCGGGAGGAATAGGTCAGGCGGGGGCAGCACTGTGGAGAAGCCCATCCCGCGCGCAGCACGGCCGTCGGGAGGGACTTCCTCTGAGGAGGACTGGTGTTGCCCAGCAGGTGCGGCGGAGCATCATGAGGCTTCGCTCACTGCCAACTATTGGAATGACGGTTCGTCAGGTCTAGAGACTCCATTGTACAATGTCAAAACACCCTAATTCATTCAAAATAACTTTCTGGTATTAGCAAAAATAAAACAAAACCGAAAAACAACCCATTGAATCACTAGAAATTAAACATTTCAAAGCTTGTTGATTTTAAATGTGCTCTTGGAGATTCAGAAATCAGTATTAGCCTGTCACAGATGTTTGCATCGCATTCTGTCCCAGCAAATGATGAAGCTCTCTAGGAAGAAAACCAGAAGCAAAAGGAGTTTTTCCCAGTGTAACTGAAAACGGCGCTTGTTTAATAAGTTCACGTCTAGGGTTGGCGCAGTCGCTTTGAATGTAGAAGCCTGACGTGTGTCCAGGGCCCCGGACATGGTTGGTGCATAGAAAGCTTTGGGCCATGAAGCTGATGGGAGCGGGTAGCTGGTAGAAGCTTGGAAGGAGGTTTTCAGAAATCTCGAGCCCGGTTTAATTTGAACTCTGCATTTTTCCAAAGCAAATCGGCACATTCCTGTTCGGTACTTAAGGTCCGGCTAGGGCTGTCATTTAGTCAATAAGGGCTGGAGAGGTGAAATTAAGTGTCTCAGGGTCTGTCGACAGTTCAGTTACCGCTCACTAAGAAGCGTTTGTGAAATTCGTTTCCCTTCGATGTCAACCAGAGAGATTATTACTGTTGTCGGGACAGTTTCTCCTTCTTCCTACCGAAGAATAATTATTTTTTTTTTACTAAATAACTAGAGATTGGTAGGGAACCCATGTTTTTGGAAATACTTCTTTCTTTCATGTAGTTGTAGGCGATTACTTGTCGCACTCTTGCTGTAGCAGCGAATTGCTAAGAGAAACCGCCTTAGCAGTAGGTGTTTCTTATTAAACATCAGAGACACAGTCACCCTAAATCTTTCTGTAGACGTCTTAAACTTGATTTTCTAAAGTCCAAATTATTTCTGTAATAAGTTGAGCAATGTAAGGAGCTTCCCATGTGGCGCGTGTACTTCAGGTGTCTGACATCCACTGGATGTCCCGAGGCCGTTCCGACGGAACTGCCTTTCCCATCATGGTGCTGCCGGGGGAGGGGGGGGGTGCTCTCCCTTCCCCCACCAGGGTCTCTCTGGTTTCATTTCCTACCTCAGCCTACCTGTCTAACGAATAGGATTCTTCTCCAGATGCGTAGACCTTACATATTTACTCGCCCACGCACACTCCTTCATTTACTCATTGGGTAAGGTGCGGAGGTCAGGAGCCCCAGCCATGACTTCAGACTGCCTTGACTCAGACCCCAGCCTGGCCATGTCACGTGTTAACTTTACCAGATGACCGAATTGTCTAAACTTAATTTTCCTCACTTGTCAAATGGAAATCATAACAGCACACACTCCATAGAGTTTTCTTGAAATCACATGGAATCATAGGTGTAATTTGGTTAGCATAGTGCCTAGAATATACGTATGTTTTCAGCAAATATCATCCTTCGTCGTCAGCATGAGTCAATCATTATGTATTTGAATATTTACTATGCGCCGGACCAGTGTGCTGGGTCCTGGGGTTCTAAACATTAAAGCCATAGATTGTTCTTGTCTTCTGAAGCTCACAGTCTGGTGGAGAAACAGCAATGTGACAAAGAAATATAATGACAAAGAAAGACTTCCACCTGGGGGTGCACCAGTGATCCCTGGAGCTCAGGAAGAGGGGCATCTGGTCAACCTGAGGAAGCGGGCTGTGTAGGAGACAACTTCTGGGTGCAAGTTAGATACGAGCAAGCAGTCTGTTGCCTCTCCCTCAACCAGAAAAGTATGGCTTAGTGTGGAAAATTCTAGCAACCCCGGAGCATAGGAAGTAAAAAGGGAAGATCCCCAGAGATTCATCTGGTGAGTATCCTAATTTATGTGTCATAGTGGGAGATTGAAAGGATTAGAAAAAATTTATCTAGTGGCAGTTTTTTTTCTTTGAAGATCCCATAAAGAAAAAGTATGTATATACTTGAGATATATCGATAAGGATTTATGTTTCCCAATGTGTGTTTTATGCAGGTATTATTACTAACTCGTATACTTGGTAGGTGTTGGAAAATATGGCAATTCCAGAATTGCGTGTTTAGCACCTAAGTAACGAGTGATAGTCTTAGGAGGAGCATACACTGAGATACCGTGGACATCACAGGGGCAGCCGTGATACCTAGACAAAGCCATTCCAAGGACATGAAGGCCAGAACATGACTGTGAAGAGCAGAGCAGTGTCCTCGGGATTGAGTATTTGTATATGAAACTCACTGCATCTGAAATGAAGTATTAGAACTGTCATGTCATCTCTAGGCAGTCCATGGACTGAAATAACGGGGGTGTCGCAGCTGGGAAGCCCATTGGCTTAGCTTAATTAGGAAAAACGCTCCTCACTGGGGAGCCGAGCAGGGTGCTGAGACCCAGCTGCTGCGTCCAGGTCTCCCCGCTCCTCTCTGCCAGGCGGACTTCCGTCTGCAACGTGGACGCCTGTGGCCGAGCCCCTCCTCTGTCTTCTGGGCTGGCTTTGGGGCTGTCCTCTAGTTCTGCCTGAGCCACAGTGCAGGCCCATTACACGCAAAGCTCTCTGGAACCTGCTCCCAGCAGGAACGCGCCACCCGGGGAGCCGGAGCCGGCTGGCGCGTCAGCCTATTGTGCTGCGACCTTAATTACATTTCTTAGTAGCATAACTGTCTGAAGCCGTGAACTCCAAGTACAAATATAGAGAAATGCAAACTTTTGACGCTGCTTTGAACTAAATATTGATTTTCATTTTTTTTTTCCTCTGCTCACAGTAATGTAAGTCTGTCAAACATTTTGAAAAGACATCCAAGTATAATTATTGCAGTCGGAAGCCGAAGATGTTGCCTTAACATACCGTTTTAACTAAGCTTAAGAAGCATGCTCTAAAGATTTAAGACTATTTCTGTCTGAATAATGACTTAATAAGTAAGGAACAGATAGCTCTTCTATTTTTGTGCAATTTCAGTTGACCTTGTTTAAAGTTAAAATTGACCCTGTTTCTCCTTTACAATGTTTGCAGGAAGCATTTCAGGCAGGG